CTGTCAAGACTGAGGGACTGATCACTTACTATCAAGGCTGACGGACTGATCACTTACTGTCAAGACTGAGGGACTGATCACTTACTGTCAAGGCTGAGGGACTGATCACTTACTATCAAGACTGACGGACTGATCACTTACTGTCAAGACTGAGGGACTGATCACTTACTATCAAGGCTGAGGACTGTCACTTACTGTTCAAGACTGACGGACTGATCACTTACTGTCAAGACTGACGGACTGATCACTTACTGTCAAGACTGAGGGACTGATCACTTACTGTCAAGACTGACGGACTGATCACTTACTGTCAAGACTGAGGGACTGATCACTTACTGTCAAGACTGAGGGACTGATCACTTATTATCAAGACTGAGGACTGATCATTTTACTGTCAAGACTGACAGACTGATCACTTACTGTCAAGACTGAGGGACTGATCACTTACTGTCAAGACTGAGGGACTGATCACTTACTGTCAAGACTGAGGGACTGATCACTTATTATCAAGACTGAGGGACTGATCACTTACTGTCAAGACTGACGGACTGATCACTTACTGTCAAGACTGACGGACTGATCACTTACTGTCAAGACTGACGGACTGATCACTTACTGTCAAGACTGAGGGACTGATCAACTTACTGTCAAACTGAGGACTATCACTTACTGTCAAGACTGAGGGACTGATCACTTACTGTCAAGACTGACGGACTGATCACTTACTGTCAAGACTGAGGGACTGATCACTTATTATCAAGGCTGAGGGACTGATCACTTATTATCAAGGCTGAGGGACTGATCACTTACTATCAAGACTGACGGACTGATCACTTACTATCAAGGCTCAGGGGCTGATCACTTATTATCAAGACTGACGGACTGATCACTTAGTGTCAAGACTGAGGGACTGATCACTTACTATCAAGGCTCAGGGGCTGATTACTTATTATCAAGACTGAGGGACTGATCACCTACTATCAAAACTGACGGACTGATCACTTACTGTCAAGACTGACGGACTGATCACTTACTGTCAAGACTGAGGGACTGATCACTTACTATCAAGGCTCAGGGGCTGATCACTTATTATCAAGACTGAGGGACTGATCACCTACTATCAAAACTGACGGACTGATCACTTACTGTCAAGACTGAGGGACTGATCACTTGCTATCAAGGCTCAAAGGCTGATTACTTATTATCAAGACTGAGGGACTGATCACCTACTATCAAAACTGACGGACTGATCACTTACTGTCAAGACTGAGGGACTGATCACTTACTATCAAGGCTCAGGGGCTGATCACTTATTATCAAGACTGAGGGACCGATCACTTACTATCAAGACTGAGGGACTGATCACTTACTATCAAGACTGAGGGACTGATCACTTACTATCAAGACTGAGGGACTGACCACTTACTATCAAGGATGAGGGACTGATCACTTACTATCAAGACTGAGGGACTGATCATTTACTATCAAGACTGAGGGACTGATCACTTACTATCATGGCTGAGGGACTGATCACTTACTATCAAGACTGAGGGACTGATCATTTACTATCAAGGCTGAGGGACTGATCACTTACTATCAAGACTGAGGGACTGATCACTTACTATCAAGGCTGAGGGACTAATCACTTACTATCAAGGCTGAGGGACTGATCACTTACTATCAAGAAAGAGGGACTGATCACTTACTATCAAGACTGAGGGACTGATCACTTACTATCAAGGCTGAGGGACTGATCACTTACTATCAAGGCTGAGGGACTGATCACTTACTATCAAGGCTGAGGGATTGATCGCTAACTATCAAGGCTGAGGGGCTGATCACTTACTGTCAAGGCTGAGGGACTGATCACTTACTATCAAGGCTGAGGGACTGATCGCTTACTATCAAGGCTGAGGGGCTGATCACTTACTGTCAAGGTTGAGGGACTGATCACTTACTATCAAGGCTGAAGAACTGATCATTTACTATCAAGGCTGAGGGACTGATCACTTACTATCAAGACTGAGGGACTGATCATTTACTATCAAGGCTGAGGGACTGATCACTTACTATCAAGACTGAGGGACTGATCACTTACTATCAAGGCTGAGGGACTAATCACTTACTATCAAGGCTGAGGGACTGATCACTTACTATCAAGACCGAGGGACTGATCACTTACTATCAAGACTGAGGGACTGATCACTTACTATCAAGGCTGAGGGACTGATCACTTACTATCAAAGCTTAGGGACTGATCACTTACTATCAAGGCAGAGGGATTGATCGCTTACTATCAAGGCTGAGGGGCTGATCACTTACTGTCAAGGCTGAGGGACTGATCACTTACTATCAAGGCTGAGGAACTGATCACTTACTATCAAGGCTGAGGAACTGTTCGCTTACTATCAAGGCTGAGGGGCTGATCACTTACTGTCAAGGTTGAGGGACTGATCACTTACTATCAAGGCTGAAGAACTGATCATTTACTATCAAGGCTGAGGGACTGATCGCTTACTATCAAGGCTGAGGAGCTGATCACTTACTATCAAGGCTGAGGGACTGATCACTTACTATCAAGGCTGAGGGACTGATCACTTTCTATCAAGGCTGAGGAGCTGATCACTTACTATCAAGGCTGAGGGACTGATCACTTACTATCAAGGCTGATGAACTGACCACTTACTATCAAGGCTGATGAACTGATCACTTACTATCAAGGCTGAGGGACTGATCACTTACTATCAAGGCTGAGGGACTGATCACTTACTATCAAGGCTGAGGGATTGATCGCTTACTATCAAGGCTGAGGGGCTGATCACTTACTGTCAAGGCTGAGGGACTGATCACTTACTATCAAGGCCAAAGGGAACTGATCACTTACTATAAAGGGCTTGAGGGACTGGTCGCTTACTATCAAGGCTGAGGGGCTGATCACTTACTGTCAAGGTTGAGGGACTGATCACTTACTATCAAGGCTGAAGAACTGATCATTTACTATCAAGGCTGAGGGACTGATCACTTACTATCAAGACTGAGGGACTGATCATTTACTATCAAGGCTGAGGGACTGATCACTTACTATCAAGACTGAGGGACTGATCACTTACTATCAAGGCTGAGGGACTAATCACTTACTATCAAGGCTGAGGGACTGATCACTTACTGTCAAGACCGAGGGACTGATCACTTACTGTCAAGACTGAGGGACTGATCACTTACTATCAAGGCTGAGGGACTGATCACTTACTATCAAGGCTGAGGGATTGATCGCTTACTATCAAGGCTGAGGGGCTGATCACTTACTGTCAAGGCTGAGGGACTGATCACTTACTATCAAGGCTGAGGAACTGATCACTTACTATCAAGGCTGAGGGACTGATCGCTTACTATCAAGGCTGAGGGGCTGATCACTTACTATCAAGGCTGAGGAACTGATCACTTACTATCAAGGTTGAGGGACTGATCACTTACTATCAAGGCTGAAGAACTGATCATTTACTATCAAGGCTGAGGGACTGATCGCTTACTATCAAGGCTGAGGGACTGATCACTTACTATCAAGGCTGAGGGACTGATCACTTTCTATCAAGGCTGAGGAGCTGATCACTTACTATCAAGGCTGAGGGACTGATCACTTACTATCAAGGCTGATGAACTGACCACTTTCTATCAAGGCTGATGAACTGATCACTTACTATCAAGGCTGAGGGACTGATCATTTACTATCAAGGCTCAGGGACTGATCACCTCCTATGAAGGCCGTGGGACTGATCACCTACTGCTAAAGCTGAGTGACTGATCACATACTATCAAGGCTGAGGAGCTGATCACTTACTATCAAGGCTGAGGAGCTGATCACTTACTATCAAGGCTGAGGGACTGATCACTTACTATCAATGCTGAGGGACTGATCACTTAGTATCAAGGCTGAGGGACTGATCACTTACTATCAAGGCTGAGGAACTGATCACCTCCTATGAAGCCTCAAGGACTGGTCAGCTCCTATGAAGGCCGAGGGACTGATCACCTACTGCTAAAGGTGATCAGCCCCACAGGGACTGATCACCTCAAGTTTACTCTGTACTTCTCCGTAGTGAATCGAGAAAGTCACCAGTTTTGAAAACGTCATAAGTAAAGAGGCTGAGGTGTTACATATGTGTTTAATTGTTACATTTTCTCCGAGGACCAGAGTCCTTCTATTTGATCAATCAAAGTTGTAGCTTCCATTCCCCGGTCTGCACTACCTCTCATGTCTACTTTCTTTCTTTTTTTTGCCGATTTTCTTAACTTTGCATCTGCTAATCTCTGTGTTCTGTAGAAATATTCTTTTAACCTTCAATTGTCTTCTCCAGTGTCGATTCCCTTCATTAATTTTGCATAATCTGCTTATAAAGAAAGGAAAGGAATTATCTGTTGTGTCATATTATCTGCATCCTGTATGAAGAGTAGTATTGATGTAAGCACTGACCCATGTTGGACCTCACTCGTCATGTTTGCCCATCCTGAAATACTCTCCAAGACCACCACTGTTTTCTCTCCGTATTTATTTAGCGATCCCTTGTAATATTTTTGCCTGTTCCTATAATTTGTGGATCATTACCTAATGCTATTTACTATTCATTAATATGTCGTTCACATAGCCTTCATTTGCTAAGGAATAAAAATTTATATATAAAAAACTAATTGAGGCTCATTAATATATGTATAGAAAATCTGGTTTAAAAATGTGAGAAAAATACCAACTTTTTTCAAAAGAATTTTATTCCGACTTTCTAGCAAACACAACAGAGAAGAACCATCGTCACAGCCTCTCATATACTGCATTACTTGCTTTTAATTACTCATTAAAATCAACACATAGCAATAAAATTTTTATAATTAAACATTCTCAGGGATGTGATTGTCTTGTGTCAAGAACTTCAAAGCGACTTGGTGAATGCTGACCAATTTATACAATTAAAAAAAATCAGATAATTCATAGTGCCACAGGTTTCTGATGCTACATTATCCTAGTGAGTGAGTCCACTCAGATTTCTTTTCTTTACTCTTCTGTATGGTGTCTTACGCCTTGTATGTTGTCTTGCTTCTTGGCTATTATCTTGGTCCTTGTTTATTGTCTGGCTCTTTGTTTGTTACTTTGCTCCTTGTCTACTGTTTTGCTCCTTGTCTGTCGTGTCTGCACCCCCTGGAAGCTAACACACGCCTCGCTTGAGCAAGATGTTAGCGTAGGGAGCAGTCTCGCTGAAAGTACAAATTACAAATTTTAGTCTACATCATTATTATTACGTTGTAGGCGGGAGCGCTAAACCCGTAGAGGTCGTACAGCGCCTTGGAAAATGGGAGGTAATCAAGGTCGATGCAAGGAAGACAAGATCTGGTCTAATTTCTTTTATCAAGATCCTCTCGCCAGCATCAATGAACCTACCCTGAAGGACGTATGCAACACGGTGTAAGTTTCTCGGATTGTGCAGTGACCATAATATATCTAATTTACATAGGAATCAAGTGTATGCCTACCCAGTCTGTATGATAGCGTAGGCCTTCTTGGCCTTCTCGTAGAACTCGAAGCGTTCCACCATCTTGAGGGTGACGGCTGGAGGCTGGTGTTTGTTGCAGATCCTGGAGTACTCCTCCCAGATGCTCAACTTCATCCCCTTGGCCTTGTCTGCATCAGTCATGTCCATCAGCTGAACCTGAGTGGTCGTAGCATGTTAACTGTCTCAGAAGAATACAATATATGGCTGAAATAATAACGTATCTGGAACAATACATTGGTTGGAACAAAAATACTCTAGTTGGAACAATACTGTAGCAACAAAAATCACGTCTTCCAGTTTTAATTAAAAAAGTGTTAATTTTAAATAATATAATTTAAAAAAATTTAGACACTAATAAATATTTCTAAAGGAGATAAGGTCAAATATATACACATGACTACACTTTATTTTATATAAATCACAATAATATCGTTAATTTTATTGCAAAAATATAGTTACATTCTGTTGAAATGTTATAATTTCTGAGAACTTTAGATACAGATTAATGACTAAATATTTTTTACTAAAATATATAAATAAATATTTACATGTAATATCCGCCTGATTAAACAACAGTCCGATGTATGCTATCAACAGCACATATTATATGCACTGAGAGGTGTATATATTTATGCCGCTGGGTGAGTACCCAAGGGCATGAATGACTGTTTCACTCACTGGTGGTCACCCAGGGCCATGGTGACCTCTCTCGCTCATGGATAGTCATGAGAACGATAAACGACCCTTGTTACTGGTTGATCACTAGGACCATGAACGATCACTCTCACTGCATGATAACTTGAACTACGCATGACAACACTCACTCACCGGGTGGTCGTCGTAAGCATCCAGGGGCATGAAAGTGAGCATGGCATCCAGAAGTTCAGGGATGCTGAGGCCATCTGCTCGGTATTCCTTGGGTCCTCCCTCGCTGCTGCAAATGCTGTGGGTCGGGAAGTTGATGTCGGCCAGCACTGTGCACGGAGAAAGACACATCGTTAAATATGGTGAGAAAGAATCTTTATCATTAGGTGGCTCGCCCTTCCAATACAGAGAATAATTACTGAAGATGGTGCAAGTTGTGACGAAGTAATTGAAGATGATCAGTCTCTCAGTTCTGACAGCTTGTGTTTAATCTTGATAAATCAAGAATCCAATAATTATTTTCTGTATTGAATTCATAAAGCCACAGGTTAGCGAGACGTCTCCACAGTGATGATAACCAAATGTGCTACAAGTGTCTCATTCATCAACTTGTTGGTTTTGTAAACCATTAATGTAAAATTACTGGGAGAAATTATTCTTTGTTAAGTAATTTCACAGTTTAATATGGAAGAAAAGCATACCGAGGACTTCCTAAAATATACTAAATAAAACCTGCGTCTAGTTCATCATTACTAGTTTTATCTTTAACATGTTCATTCATCTTATATTTATAATAAAAACCACGAAAAGAAAACCTCATTGAATGTTTGAGTTATCAGGTTTAAAACTTATTAACTATATGAAGGCATTAAAATATACATGTACAATATCAGTCAAGAATATTTAATCAATATTACACAAATTTAAGTAAACTCTAAGTGTATATAAAGTGACATAGGCACTGGGATGGGCTGTCTGGGAGAGTGTGTCTTGGATGAGTGTGTCCTGGAGTGCCTGAGATGAGTAAATGCGTGAGTGTACTGGAGTGTGAATATCTGGGAGGTGTGTGTGTGCATGTACTGGACACTTCATGGTGACCAGCAGGAAGGCAGCGTCACTGGCTGCTCCTCTCTATCACCTTCATGACAGATGCTGGAGGCAAGGTGGCCACTAGTTCTCACCTGTGGCTGGGTTTTGCCACATTCATGACGTCAGTTTGTGCTGAGGTCACGGCAGGTCAGTGAGTATTGCTTCAGTTCATGTCTGAGTCCTGGTTCACACGCACTGATAATGTAAACACTGAAAGGAACCTTTCACTGGACCCCGCGAGAGTGATTGCTTGGTCCACTTCGTCACGCATTGTTTAGTTGATAATCATGACCTTAGGCGAGGTTATTTGATTATCATAACGTAACGCGGAGAGAAAACAGTGACGCAGCAGTGGGAGGTTAATACGTAAGGTAGACACGCTGGGGTTCCCTAAATTCTGGGCGTATTTGATCTGGTGACGGTGCGTGCGGAGGCAGGCGAGGCGCCCAGCCTTCCAGAGCGGGAGAGAAAGTCCAGGAGAGAAAGAATACAGAGCTTAGATGTAGCTACGTAAAGAACATGAGATGAGAAGGATTGTAGATTTTAAATTTTGCCATTAAAATGCGGTTTGATAATTTTGGAGTTTCTACGTCAATTCTTTTATTTTTATGGATTTTTTTTTTCAACAAGTCGGCCGTCTCCCACCGAGGCAGGGTGACCCAAAAAAGAAAGAAAATCCCCAAAAAGAAAACACTTTCATCATCATTCAACACTTTCACCACACTCCACATTATCACTGTTTTTACAGAGGTGCTTAGAATACAACAGTTTAGAAGCATACACATATAAAGATACACAACATATCCCTCCAAACTGCCAATATCCCAACTAAATCTTTTATACCATGAAACGCACAACCTATACTGATCATTCAGTCTAAGACTTGCAGAGGCTCGATCCTCCGTCCTCTGATCACCACCCGGACGTTGAGTAAATCATTTTTTTAAGTAAGATTTATTGTAAGACATGAAATATATTAACTTGGCACATATAATGTTCATTTCAATGGTCTATAAGGAAAAATTAAAGCAACTTAAAGCCCGACCATTAAGGCAGCTGTGATTGCAATTTACAAGATATTCAAGTACAATAACATCTGACTAAACATGTCAAGAAACTGGAGGAGGTGCAAAGGTTGGCAACGAGATTAGTCCCAGGTGTACACAGGCTGACCTGTGAGGGAACACATGCGAGGGAAGACAACATGTGACTGTAGATAGAAGACGAGTATCACGATAAACCAATAAACATGTTAGAAACATGTTTCTTGAGTGCAACCACACCAACACAGCTACGCAAAGTTAATACACAGTTTCAAGAGAAAACTTAGGGAACACAGATATGCTTGTGGAGGGACGACACTAGCAACACATGCACGGTCGATCGTAACACCTGTAACTACCTGAAGTAAGAGCAGTTATCAGAGAAGTAGACCCACGTAGCGGACTCTCTTTTCGATCTCAATTACTAACACCATTTTATAAAACTGAATCTCTCAGTATTTCCAAGAGTTAAGTGAAACTGATCGTACCTAAAATTTCGCATGTGACCTCACCCGCTCGCAGGTGACCTCACCCGCTCGAAGGTGACCTCACCCGCTCGAAGGTGACCTCACCCGCTCGAAGGTGACCTCACCCGCTCGCAGTTGACCTCACCCGCTCGAAGGTGACCTCACCCGCTCGAAGGTGACCTCACCCGCTCGCAGTTGACCTCACCCGCTCGAAGGTGACCTCACCCGCTCGAAGGTGACCTCACCCGCTCGAAGGTGACCTCACCCGCTCGCAGTTGACCTCACCCGCTCGTAAGTGACCTCACCCGCTCGCAGGTGACCTCACCCGCTCGTAAGTGACCTCACCCGCTCGCAGTTGACCTCACCCACTCGCAAGTGACCTCACCCGCTCGCAGGTGACCTCACCCGCTCGTAAGTGACCTCACCCGCTCGCAGGTGACCTCATCCGCTCGCAGGTGACCTCATCCGCTAGTCAGTGAGGTCACTCGCTCGTAAGTGAGGTCACCTGCAGACCACGCTGAACTGTACACATCAGGGACATCATCTCGGCTACTACAATAAATTGATAAAATGGCAAGTATATTCTACTTATCATTTTAGCAATTTATAAGTGATTAAGACGCACGTCCATCACTTAGGTAGCTGTGTCTTACCCGCACCTAGGAGCTGCACGGGTGTCTTACCCGCACCTAGGAGCTGCACGGGTGTCTTACCCGCACCTAGGAGCTGCACGGGTGTCTTACCCGCACCTAGGAGCTACACGGGTGTCTTACCCGCGCCTAGGAGCTACACGGGTGTCTTACCCGCACCTAGGAGCTACACGGGTGTCTTACCCGCACCTAGGAGCTACACGGGTGTATTACCCGCACCTAGGAGTTGCACGGGTGTCTTACCCGCACCTAGGAGCTGCACGGGTGTCTTACCCGCACCTAGGAGCTACACGGGTGTCTTACCCGCCCTAGGAGCTACACGGGTGTCTTACCCGCACCTAGGAGCTGCATGGGTGTCTTTCCCGCACCTAGGAGATACACGGGTATCTTACCCGCACCTAGGAGCTGCACAGGTCTCTTACCCGCACCTAGGAGCTGCACAGGTGTCTTACCCGCACCTAGGAGCTACACGGGTGTCTTACCCGCACCTAGGAGCTGCACGGGTGTATTACCCGCACCTAGGAGCTGCACGGGTGTATTACCCTCACATGGAAGCTACACGGGTGTCTTACCCGCACCCAGGAGCTCCACTGGTGTCTTACCCTCACCTAGGAGCTGCACTGGTGTCTTTCCCGCACCTAGGAGATGCACGGGTATCTTACCCGCACCTAGGAGCTGCACAGGTGTCTTACCCGCACCTAAGAGCTGCACAGGCGTCTTACCCGCACATAGCAGCTGCACAGGTGTCTTACCCGCACCTAAGAGCTGCACAGGCGTCTTACCCGCACATAGCAGCTGCACAGGCGTCTTACCCGAACATAGCAGCTGCACAGGTGTCTTACCCGCACCTAGGAACTGCACAGGTATCTTACCCGCACCTACCAGCTGCACAGGTGTCTTAAAAGCACTTAGCAGCTGCACAGGTGTTTTACCCGCACCTAGAAGCTGCACAAGTGTCTTACCCGCACCGAGCAGCTGCACAGGGGTTTTACCCGCACATAGCAGCTGCACAGGTGTTTTACCAGCACCTAGCAGCTGCACAGGTGTCTTACCCGCACCTAGCAGCTGCACAGGTGTCTCACCCGCACATAGCAGTTGCACAGGTGTCTTACCCGCACCAAGCAGCTGCACAGGTGTCTTACCCGCACCTAGGAGCTGCACAGGTGTTTACCAGCACCTAGCAGCTGCACAGGTGTCTTACCAGCACCTAGCAGCTGCACAAGTGACTTACCAGCACCTAGCAGCTGCACAGGTGTCTTACCCGCACCTAGCAGCTGCACAGGTGTCTTACCCGCACCTAGCAGCTGCACAGGTGTCTTACCCGCACCTAGCAGCTGCACAGGTGACTTACCCATTAACATTTAACGTAATAATTTCAAGAGCAGATATCATGGAACGCAAAACACCAGGATTCCACTGGGCCGGGCTCTTGATAGATGACAGGCTGGGTCAGGCTCTTGATAGATGACAGGCTGGGTCAGGCTCTTGATAGATGACAGGCTGGGTCAGGCTCTTGATAGATGAAAGGCTGGGTCAGGCTCTTGATAGATGACAGGTTGGGCAGGCTCTTGATAGATGACAGGCTGGGTCAGGCTCTTGATAGATGACAGGCTGGGTCAGGCTCTTGATAGATGAAAGACTGGGTCAGGCTCTTGATAGATGACAGGCTGGGTCAGGCTCTTGGTAGATGACAGGTTGGGCCGGGCTCTTGATAAATGACAGGCAGGGTCAGGCTCTTGAAAGATGACAGGCTGAATCAGGCTCTTGATAGATGACAGGTTGGGCCGGGCTCTTGATAGATGACAGGCTGGGTCAGGCTCTTGATAGATGACAGGCTGGGTCAGGCTCTTGATAGATGACAGGCTGGGTCAGGCTCTTGATGGATGACAGGCTGGGTCAGGCTCTTGATAGATGACAGGTTGGGCCGGGCTCTTGATAGATGACAGGCTGGGTCAGGCTCTTGATAGATGACAGGCTGGGTCAGGCTCTTGAAAGATGACAGGTTGGGCCGGGCTCTTGATAGATGACAGGCTGGGTCAGGCTCTTGATAGATGACAGGCTGGGTCAGGCTCTTGATAGATGACAGGTTGGGCCGGGCTCTTGATAGATGACAGGTT